CTGAGGCTGTTGCCAAAATGTTCTGCCAACATGTTGTTGCCTGTTGCAAATACGTTGTCGCATGTTGTTAACAGGTTAGGTGCCGCAGGTCAGAGACTCAGACCTAGGGTAGCAGCCTCCTCTGCCTTCGTACTTATCACTCTCTCTCCTTTCATCTCTAAAGCTGCACAAGCCTTTGAATTGATATATATCTTGAAAGCAGCTTTCGTTTTTTTGACCGCTGCTCCTTTCTTAGTGACCGCTGCAACTAGTTTCTCGCGTCGCAACTCTAATTATCTACAATTTGATCGAGACCGGTTTAGCGTGAAGCAGAAATTACTCTTTTTTCTCATTAAATGACCTCCCTTTAGGGTACGGCTGCAGAGCATGCGGTTACCAAGAAGCCGCGCTATCCTCACTATATGGGTTCTATCTTGCTCAATATTAGAAGCGTTTGCACAAGAACACAGTCATCATAACCATGATTCAATGTCGGAAGCTTCCACAGAGCCATTCGAGTTTACGGATGTTTTGGATGCGAGTTCTGCAAATAGTTCTGCGGAAATAATGCCGAAGTCAGAGCACTCAAGTACAAATCCTAACCCTGACCCTTTACAACTCGACCCCAAACTTGAGCCAATCCCAAAGCCGGAGCCAGAACCGGTGCCAAAGTCTGAGTCTGCGCCTTCATCACATGTAACTTCGTCGACCATATCGGAAGTTCCAATGCCAGAGCCAGAGCCAGCAATAAAGTTTGACAATATTGAGTCGGAAGACTACGGGGATGTAGTTGAACTTGTAAGTTTTATTCAGCTACTTTACTGAATTTCTTGAAATCAAAGTCATGGTTCAGAGGAACCAGCCTGACGAGCTTGACACTGAAGTCATTGAGCAGCTTGTTGATCGGTTTCTCAATACTGGGTCACTCTCAGTAAGTGTTTTTAGTTAGATAATGTAATGGGAACTCATAGCACAATGATTGCAGGATAAAAATGGTCCAAAGTTTGCGAATCCAGCAGCTCAAGCCCTTATAGGGAGCAGCAAATATTGGAATACTGAGGGCCTAAAGGTGTTATACATATGCCTCAACAAGCTGTGGAAAAAGTTCTCTAGTTCAGGAGCCAGGAACAATAAAGGACGAAGCAGCAATCAAGGAATGGATAGATGGCTATCAAGTTGAAGCTCAAAAGGTAAAGCTTTATCCAAATTATCTTGGAGTTCGTTCTCTGTGAACTCTATCATGACGTAAATCTCTTTCTTCTCCAGGTTCTAAAAGAAGTAGCTCAAGCTGGCTGGAAGTACTTCAGCCATGCATCTCCAGGGGCGAAGCAAAGCTTGAATGAAGCCGAACAGGCAAATATTTTTATCTCATCATCCTTCTTCTGTACACATTAGTCACCCGAACCATCGCTTCCAACAGGTTCTATCACGCTTCGTTCGTTCAACTTCAATGCAAGCCAAGCAGTTCGATATGGAATCAATCAAAGACGCATCACTGAAGAGACAGCTAGCATACGTATCCTTCGAGGGGATGTCCGCATTGTCACCAAAAGACTATGCAGCTTTTAATCAGGCACAAAACGCGGTATGTAAGAATGATCTTAAGGCTGCGTCCAAAGTTGTCCTTCTGACTGATTCGTATCCGGCCCGTCGCTACATCGCATGCGGTAATGAAGATGACATTGCATGCGACAGCCGGTGACATCAAGACGCACTGTGCTGGTGCTGTGCTGGTCCTGTGCCGTTCACGCAGTGGCACAGAGGCAGCGGTTC